ACATATCTAATCAGAATTTCCTATTTTCAACCTGTGTCCATTGCTGCTCATCATTTTGCTACACACTTCCAAGAAGAGTTTGCCTCTATCTTTTCTATAGCCACCCGTTTGGTAGTTAAGAAAGCAACTGTATTCTTCCCCTACTTAGCCTTCTCTTCTGGCTAAACAAACCCAGCTGCCTCAGTATCTCCTCTTATCTTGCCCTCCAGTCCTCTGACCATCATGATGGAACTCCATTGTTCTTCCTCCAATCTGTCAGTGTCTTTTGTGTTTTGAGGAGTCTAAAATTTGAGAGAGTTCTCTATTTGTTGTCTCAAAAATGCTAAACAGAGAAGAATAATTTCCTTCAGCCTTTTAGCTACACTGTTACTAATGCAGCCCAGGATGCTCTTGGCCTTCTGCACTGCAGGGGCGCACTGCTGATTCATGTTCAGCTTAATGTTCCCCAGGACTCAAAAATTAATTTCTGCAAAGCAACATTTTATGCAGACAGCCCCAGCCTGCACTGTTGCATGGGATTATTCCATCCATCCATCTAGGTCCCTCTAAGTGACAGCATTATCTCCTGCTGCCTTGTGTATTGTCCTTTGCAAACTCACTGAGGGTGCAGTCTGCCCCATCTTTGAGGCTGTTCATGAAGATGTTAAACAGGGTCAGACCCAGTATCAACTCCCAGATAAATCACTACCAATCAACTGACAGCAGATTTCAATCTGCTGATCACTATTCTTTGAGGCCAGTATTCTACCCATCTTGTGGGTAATCCATCCACGTAGTCCATATCTCTTCAGTCTCTAAGGATACTATGGGAAACCTCTCATCAATCCCTTCTTTTTTGTCTACAGAATGAGACATCTCATTATAGAGGCAATCAATTTATACAGGTATGAAAAATCTGTGTTGGCTATTCAAAATCATTTCTGTGTCCTTCATGTCCTGGCAGTTGTTTCTAGGAAGATTTGCTCCATAATCTCCCCAAAGAGTGTAAGGACTATAGTTCTTGGCCTTTTTGAAACTGGTGCTACAATTTTCTCCTTCCAGTCATCAAGACTTCTTCCAGTCACCACAATCTTTCAAAGATGATAGTGGTCCCATCATCCACGAAATGCAGCATCACAAAATGAAGCCTTCTAGCAAAGATGCTCTTTGCTTTACAGACCATCTTGAATCATAGACAATAGCATATTGTGATACACTTCCTTCATATTGGCTAGGCAATGGTATGAAAGCGATGTTGTATATTTAAATTATATCAATTTTTTATTTACTAGAACAGCAGCAAGAGATGCTACTGTTTGTTTTCATTACATTCCTTAAGAATTGCTGATAAATATGTATGTATATCTTATACATTCAAGAAGGCCTATGGTTATTGTGCAGACTAAATAATCTCATCATCTTATATGCAGAATTAGATTTGCCACACTTCAATAGCAAGTAAATCACAATTTCCAGAACGCAACTCTCTAGACAAGATTAATCTGGGAGATGTTCAAGTCCTGCAGTTTTACTGTTAGACTTGGTCTCCCACATGCCCCTTTTTGAATTAGATACTTTGGTTTTCAACCTGTGTAATTCTGTGTTTTAGACTTGTTTAAAATAGCGTCCAGACTAGAATGCAGGGTTCTGCACTGCGAATCACAGCTCAGAGAAGGTGGTTAGCTGAATGAAAAACTGGCTGGTGAGAATCCTGGTCTGCAAGAGTGTACTTCCCCGGGATGGAGAGATTTGACTTTATTGCCTCCTTGTAATTTTCTGGATCTGGGACTTGAATGTTAATGCCATGTAATATTTACAAGAGTTGAAAACGGACTTTTTGCAGCTGAACTATCTTTTGTTTTGTTTTCTGATTTTCACTGCTGTGACTATTTGATCTCCCTCTCAATGTGTAACAAATCACAATATTCTTCCTAAAGTCAGCCTATGATATCTGCCACTTCGTGTCAATGATTTACTCAGCTATTTATTTGATACTACAGAGCCATTCTGAAGGGTGAATAGCTTAGACAGATACATTATTAATCATTAAAGTTCAAAAGCTTTCAGAACATTAAGTCAGAAAACGACAAGAAGATTGAACATATAGAGAGGTTGACATGGGGGTAGGTAGTCAGAGGGTTGGAAATAAAGCAGGACAAATTGTATGCTATCATGTCTGATTACTGTCCTGAAGATCTTTGAAATGCACAGACACAGGGATAATGCCAGAGTGGATTAGCTTAGTCTGATTGCATTTGGTTCCTACTGCGATTTTTTTGTTATAGGGTTATTTATGTTGTTTTGTCCAGCATTTGAATTGAATGAGTGGAAGTAATTTAGCTTCTGTTCTCTTCCATAAAATTTTGCCTTCTCTTCTCTTATAGTGCAATCATGGAACACAAAGAGCTATTGAAAGTTCCCTGGGATTGGCAAATAGGTAAGAAAATCCTTCACCTCATTGAAATGTTTGCTGAAAAGCACACGGAGCCGGTCAGTATTTGTGAAGGCAGGCATGAAGCTGCACAGGAGACAGTATTTGTGACCTTTTCATCCACTGCTGCCAAAGGTTGAACCACGTGCCTCATAACTTTGCTCAAATGATCTGTCCTCCCTTTGTCATGTTATGCCCTCTTTGCACCATTACGTTGGACACTGGAGAAGCATACAAATATAACGGAGTAATCATTCAGACAGCAGTGAAGGAAAAAAACAGTGGGGTTCCAGTTCTATGATTCAGGGCAACACTGAGACAAATAAATGAGGTGGTCATTAAAAGCCTACTTTTCCAAGGAGTGCAAAAAAAAAGAAAATGGAACATAATAAAAGAATAAACTGGAAAAATATGTGCTATGGATTTTATAGGCCCAACTCTCTTTTCTAATGGATACATGTCTTTAGGCAAATAGTTAATTGCTTTCCAAGTAGTTTTAACAGCATATAGCCGAGGTATGTGTTAGATTTTAGGTGGCCTCGTGCACAATTAAGATTTTATGGTGTTTCAGTATTCAGTGAATTGCCTTTCCCCGTTTCTGTTTGGAAACTTGGTTTGTGAGTTAAAACACCCTTCTAATTTTTTTTTATTATTTTCTTTAAAAGCAAATCAACCTTTTAGGAAAGATGTCTCCCTATAAGTACTCTTTTAGCATCTATAATAATGGAAGAAATAAAAGAATACTAACAGTACTTAGCTGATATGTGTATTAGCAAAGTGGTTCCAGCTTTGTTAATTCTTTGACAATGGGTTGTTACCTAGTCTCAGAAGTGTGCAAAGACAAAGATTAAATGTGAATCTTTGAAAACAGAAAATACAAGTTACAGTAAACAGTGTTGTTTCACTGGGCCTTTCTTCATCAGTTCCTCTCATAATCTTATACCTTAAAAAAACAGTGCATCTGTCACAAAACATTGCAGTAGAAGTCTTCGAATTTTAATGGTTGAGATGTGAAATGCATGGCAAATCAATTTAAAGTATCTATTGAGAAACAGCTCTACTGCGTAATGGAAGTACATCCTGGACTTCTTTGAGATCATTAATATAACTTCAACAGTGCTGCTTGTTTATACATCATCATAAAGACCACAGAGACATAATTAATCTGGTAATAATGGAACGAGCAATGGTCATAGTAAATTAATCTACTAGTCATATAAATGCTGTATATACTTCCGTAAGAGTTCTGTCATAACTCAATATTAGTTAAATGTGCCATTAAAATAAAGTCATACTTCATGCTCTGTGAAGCCATTAAATTGTCACCCAAAATTAGTTGCTAATTATGAAGAGTCTCTTCTCTTCATAAGGAGAAAGTCATCTTGGCAAGAGCATCATAGATTTGCACTTCTTTTGTTAGAGTAATAATTGGAAATGTGGCTGAGTTGAGCAAGGATAAAACATTATGATAATTATGTCTAGTTTTGTGTTCTTCCATGGCTTCCACTGAACTTTGTCTCTTTTCCATGGCATTGGCAGTGATGTAAGGTTGTTATGTAGTGACTGACAAATCTGTGTCAGGGTGTACACAGCCCTGCCTTTCTGGAATGCTTATCCACTGTGGCTGGCTTAAACCTGCAGTCCAGGGAAGTTAAATTGTCTGTTGTCTCAATGATCACAATGAAGTCAGAGCAGGAAACCTAATAAATAATCGAAGGGTGGCCTCTGGCCAGCTGCCATAACTGTGTTATTAACAATCTGTGAACTACCCTTCAATCGATGTAAAACACAAGTGATTTTGGAATATAAAGATCTACAGCTGCCCTAGTAGGTGTCATGTTTAAAATAGGCTATGGTTCTTCTGCTTTTAAGTCTGTAATTTGCCTGATACATAGCATCATCTCTGCAGTTAGTATAAATCAGTGTAGCTCTGTTTATATCCTTGAAGGTAGGAGTACTAATGCTTGCAGACAATCTGACCTAATCTGATCTGATATAGTTTCATACAAGACCATGATAAATTTGTAGAGTGACACATAAAATAATAACAAATAAGGAAATACCAGTTTTGTTTAAGATAAAAGACAATTTGATCTTCAGGGAAGTGTCCTTTGTTATGGAGGGTTTTATCATTTCTCCATAGTCTTTATTCTGCAAAACCATTTTAAATAAATCAGAACTGATCCCAGTACATGCCAGTAGGAAAAATAATAATAAAAAAAGTAATAAAAAATGTCAAGGCTAAAACAAGTAACATTCAGCCAGCATGCTCAGAAAGCTAAACCAGGTGTTTCCAAGCTATGTTACATTAGTCTTAGTGATACTCAACCTACTACAGCAAAGTCCAAGGGGGCTGCTCATCTGTGCCACAATGCACAGTCTTAAGACAAGATAGAAGAGAATGAGGGAACAGGTCTTGTTCACCCTGTGGAAGAGCAGGTTTCAAGAGGACCCTCAGGTGCTACCTACAGAGAGGCTATCAGGAGGACAGAGTTAGGTCCTTCAAAATGGTGCATGGCAAGAGGTTAAGAGACAACAAGTAGAAGTCGAAATGAGATATTAAGGCTGGGTATAAGGAAAGGCAGTGAGATAGTGAAGTAGGTTGCCCAGAAGTGTCCTCTGCAGTCTCCATCCTTGGAGGCTTTCAAGGCCTGACTGGACAAAGTCTTTGTGCAATTGAGATGACCACCAACCTGATCCTGCTGTGAGCAGGAGGTTGGGTTCCTGAGCTCCCTTCAAACCTGCTCCTATGAACCTAAGTGCCCAATCCAGACACTTATCAATCAGCTACACACCAGCCAGGCCAGCTGCTGACCTTACTCATGAGGGTGAGCACTGACAGTGTTGGATTCTTTTCACCAACTGTAGGTATTGGGGAAGTGGGCATCTGATCTAGCAGAACAGGCTCCCTTTATCATCAGCAAAGACATGATACACAAATCATGCTATCCTAAGCTGATATCTAAAAGACGTTGGACAACCTGCCCCCTAAAATTTCCTGCATCTCTTCATTACATGGGTGTTACATGCATTTTAAGATTTAAATGAAATGGCTCTTTGCATTCACCCCAATAGGACAGCTACATTTTAAGCAATTTTCCCCTGGGACTGCAATATTCTTTCGAAAAGTAGCCTGTGAAGTATGCACAGAAGTCTGCCTAAGAATATGAGTACCAAGTCAACACCATTAAATGATAAATAAATCAATTGAGAGCATAACCCAGCAAAGGGGTTGATTTTGTCCATTAGTTTCTTTTAAAGGGTTTTTAAATAAGTGGATCCACAAGCAGAAATGGAATACTCAGGACTTTATTTTTTTATTATTTTCTGCTAATTCCTTTCAGAACTCTGGAAATCAGATTTTCTGTGACTTTTAGTTGATAACAACAAGTTCTGAAGAGTTTGCATGAGTCTATATTTAGGCTGCTGCATAGATCAGCTGGGAATTCTGCAGCATGCAGTAGCATAAGAATTGTCATTTGCATAACAGCAGATGAGTGAAGTGTGTGCTATTTTTTAACTTCTTATTGATTAATTTCCTTGGGATTTATCAAGTAATAATTGAATCAGGTAAATCTTTCCTAGTAAGTTATTTAGTTTTTTAATGCAATTAGATTTTTACTGTAAAGTGTTTTTATTATATTAGTGTCTAACAATCCAATTGTGGGAGGCAATGTGTAAACATGTGGGAAGGAATAGTCTCAGCTCTGGAGAGCTTTCTGTATAAAGGATGAAGAAAGACAAAAAGTGATAGAGGAGCAGAGGGGCAAAATTGTGAAGTGATTTATCAAGTGGCAGAATACAACTAGTTCCTTGATCACTTTAGTGCCTTCTTTGCACATTCATCCACTGGTTCATAGCTCCTCTGCAGTGGTTCATATCTCCTCTGCAAATACATTTGCATTCATTTTGTGGGCACATTTCCACAAAATGTAGCATCCTCCCCCCAACTCAGCTGAACTCAGTGAATGGTGGGGACATACAACTCTTTACAACCAGATTTCATAGCCCAGAATGTGTCATTTCATTTAAATTAATATTGGATATGAGAAATTCACTAGTAATATAAAAAAACATTCTAAAAGCAGCATTGCTATCATGGCAGAGAGAGCAGATCTGAAGACCTTGTGTCCACTGCAGTGTTGATAAGGTTTCCACTTGTTTTCATGTATATTTAGTATGCTGTGCTCAGTCTGCATGCCTACATGTGGAGCTTAATAGTTTAAATCAGTGTGTTTTGGAAATGTATTCTTCATTCTTTTCCAAGAATATGGGAAATTACTTTGTTTCTTGTTTCTCTTCCCTAGGGTTGCTGTATGTTGGCTTTAGTGCCTGTATGTTTGGGCTCTACAGCTTCATGCCAGTGGTCATAAAGAAAACCAGTGCCACTGCTGTCAACCTCTCCCTACTCACAGCTGATCTGTACAGCCTCTTCTGTGGATTATTCCTCTTCCACTACAAGGTATGTGGATGTATTGAAGGATGTGAAGTAATGAAGGATGTATTTGAGTAAGAGCTGTATAGTTATTATCAATTATCAGTGCAGAACAACGAAACAAATGAAGACTCCAAGGTTTTTTGGGGATCTACACAGTAAATGTGTAGATTTTTATACTCCGTGTTTCTTATACCAAAGCCAATTTTATTCTATGATTTCCAATTGCTAATTCAGTCTTCCTTTTATGAGTTTTAAGATTTGATTACCTGTATAGCAGCAACTAAATCACCAATGTCATTTTACTTATCAGAAGTAACTTTCAACTGCTGTGACCAGATCCAGTATAGTAGCAGGTAGGAAGGTATTCTATAACGCATTAAAAAATTTGAAAGTTTTTTGTTTGTTTCTTTGTTTTTTTACATAGTGACAAGATTGTGTCATTTTGTGCTGATTATGAAATTATGACTTATAACTGTTCATGAACTTCATCTTTCTTCCCAGCTAACCCAGCACGCAAATAATTTTCCCCATTGCTTTCTTTTTTTTTTTCTTTCTCTTGTGGCTTTAAGGATTTTGGAGACACAAAACAGAAGCAAATATAGAAATTAAAATGAAAAACACACTGTAGTGGCTATAAGCTGTTTCACAGGTCTATCCTCTATGATTTGATTCTCAATTCTTTCCATGGCAAACTTCAAATCTCAAGTTTGAATTAGGTATTAGTTGAAAATTGTTATCCCTGTTAATAATTTAGTCCAATTTGTTTTATGAAAATGTCCCCCAGTGGTGCAAAATGGAACTTTGTTACAGGGAGACACTCAGAAGGCAGTAGGATTTGGACAGTTTTGAGTTCCCCTTTCCTCAAACTTGACAAAAAAAAAAAAAACGGTGATGTTGCATAACTTAAACTTCAGCACCTAAAATGCAGAAGATCAGAAGATACAGGAAATATTTCAGCTTTTCCTTATGTCTGTAACTGCAGAAGGCAAACTCTGTACATTAGCAGAAATCGTGTTTTCAACTTTATTGATGCACTCTGTCTTACTATATGTGCATGTCAGCTGTTCACCACAGTAGCACCTTGATCTCCCTTTAAGACTCCTACTGAAAAAATCCACAGTAACAGAAGTCTCAGACCTGGAAGATTTTCTGATGGAAAACTGTCTCATCACCTACCCTGGTACACAAACTAAGTTTACTTCTAGATAATTCTGAAATACTTCTTGTTGTGCCTTGAGTATCCTTTAGTCTGAAGTATCTAAAGTATCCCCATATTGATACATCATGGTAAGAACCAGCCACACTCTCTCATTTTTAGCTCCTAAGACGACCCATCCTGTCTCCCTGATCACCTACTCCTCTCTGCACCTCATCCAGTTTGAATTTATCTTTCCTGAGACAGTCCCTCCAAGTCAAGAAGCAGGACAGCCCCTCCAGCACCTTGTGCAATGCTCTTAAGATATCTCCCTGTTTCTCCTGAGAACATTGCCGCAAAAGGCCGTGTTTACTTTTATCATCTCTGCTTTTACTTCGGGATGCGTGCTCAGTCCTGCATAACCCTTGTGTGTCATTCTTCTGTTCTTCTCAGCCAAAGTGCTGGTAAGCAGAAGACCTTTGTCAGGGCTTTGTGCAAGGACCTTGGCCTGAAATTTAGCAGTAATCTCTGGAGTTCTCAGTGTCTCCTTTCTTGGCCTTAAAGCTTACAGGGCTGGGGAATTAAAAAAAGGGAGGATATACTTAGAGGATAACCAGATTAAAAAGCCCACCTAATTATCTGGGTACTTTTTTAGTTATTGAGTTTTTATCCTTAGTCCTTTAGTCAGATCACCTTCTCTTCTTCCTGGTTTACTGTCAGACATGATTTTATATGAGGAAGTAGAACTGTGAAGTGTGCAACTTTCAGTCAGCTGTGAAGTCTAATATGTTGGCCTTAAACCACTTCTATTAATTCCCCTCCTAAGACTGTGTACTCTGCTTGTTCTCCAGATTCAAATAAACAGTTTCATTCCCAGCCCAGCTGTACCTCTCCTTCACATACAATAAGCTCCTTCTGCTTATTGCTGCACTGACCAAGGAGCGAAGTCCCACTTCACTAGGAAGCAAATGGTTTTATACTAAATTAGAATCAACTGAGTAGTTTAGTGCCCCTTGCAGAATATAGTTTTATGAGGCTTTCAAGAAACAGTTATGATTTTTTCCCTGTGCTGTTGCTTTTATCACCAGGCAGGTTTATTGAACCTATAGCAGTAAATCTACGAAAATCCATGGAAAATGTAGGAAATTAGTTTAAATGGGCTTTAGAGCCTCTGAAACCTAACTGAGGAGAAGATTACACTTGAAGTGTTTTGATTAGTTAGCATTTCATCTTTTTATAATACAGAATTGCAATGTTTTGACATACAGGGCAGCAAGTTTATAAACAGCTGCTTCTGTATTCTTTATCCTATATGCCAATAGCTTTGTAGCGCACTGAAGAGTTCCCAGGCATTGGTCTATGGAAGCTAGATATAAGGAATGTTAACTTGACGCTGCTCTGATGATGTGCTGATAATTCGAAATATTAATTACTTACAGTATTAAACTGCAATGATTTGTGACTTTCAACTTGAGATAGACACTGGTTGTAGGTCTAGATTGTAGTGCATCATTTTAAAATTGTTTGCATCCCTCAAATAAAAGCTCTTGGAATATGTTTTTACTTCTTCTTTAATTAATGATAGAGCCAAGTATTCTAATAGACAAGGAAAGATATCTGACCTCTTTGTGGCTGAATATTGGCTACTGAAGTAACTTTTATGTATATAGCTCTGCATCTTCATCTTCAATCCTCTTTTTCTTAATTCTGACCATATTTATTTTATACATTCCAGATAGATAGTCAAAACTGTCCTGGCTACATGCTATTGTTTCATCTTCTTCTTAAACAAAGTTAAGTTATATCCTGCCTTTAAAAGGAAGAGCTTAAGAGACCTAAATCATAAAAAAGAAAGTAATCATCATGTTATGTCTTTTTATCTTTTATATCACACTTTACATCTTCATTTTGTGTCTGTCAAACTCATCTCTTTGTTTGGGCTTTGCCTTGTCTGTTGGTTTCTGTGAGCAGCAGTCACAGGAGCATTCAGGCTGCGAGGGCCCTGATGAGCCCTACCTAAGGTTTAGTCTCATCACATACAGTCTGGAGGTCCACATTGCCCTCCTGGTATGAGAAAGCTTCTTGCAATCCGTGCAGCAAATCCAAAGGGCTGTTTTGCTAGCTGGCTTTCAACTGTGTTTCTGTATGCATGATGTGAAGCCTTTGAAATGGGAAGATGCAATATAAATGTGAGGAATGCAGTGTACAGGGATGTCTAAACAGGGTCTAGAGGAAATTCAAGGTTCTGAGGTGATGGCATTCCCTTTCCCTAAAAATCGTGTTTGCCTTATTAGAGTCTGCAATAGCCTTCATTATCATGGATGCACCAATACCACTAGTGTTAGGAAATTCAGGGCTGATTCTCCAGTTGTAAGGGATTGGAATAAATATGAACAACTGTTATTTTTTGGCTTGGAAAGTGTGTTTTGATGTTTTAGTCTCAGCCTTAGGTTTATTTTAATGTGAGTTTTTAAATTTCATGCTTTTCATTTGCAAGCCGTATGGTGTACTTTAGACATTTTAAGCAAATTGCATTCTCGCTAAATAATCTAAGCAGTTTATTTTATGTTTTCCACCTGCTAGAGCATGCACACTGATTGCGTTCTGCACCAGCAGGTCCAGTCACACTATATTATATCATTAGCAAGAAAGCTAAGCACAGGCAATTATATTCTATCTTGGCAAATTCGTTCATTATTTTATCCAAGATTTAGCTATTAAAATTCAGAGTTTCTGGAAATAGTAGCAATTTCCAAATGACGAAAATGCATATGTTACATAATAAATCAAGGGAGTCAGGTGTCTTGATTTAGAACCATGGAGAGCAATGATGACAAAGCACTTAGCTGCGCAAATAAGCAAGTTATTTAAAACCCTTCCAGCAGTACAGACCTAAAATGATGCTACCTGACACCTCACTTACTGATGGTTCTGAAGATGACATTTTAATGTTAATTATAACAAGAGAGTCTCTGCACTGGAAAGGAGCAGATGATAACCTTCCTATTATATCAAGAAACACGCTATAAAGGACAGTGTTTTTTAACATAATGGAGAAGAGGAGATTGTTGGCTGCTGTGCTTCAAATTCATTTTTGCTGGCACAGATCCTAAGCAATGCCCATGAATTATGGATTTATATAGACCTCACTGAGATGACTGTCTTGCCCTTACTACAAATTCAGGAAAAGATTAAGGAGCATCCATTAAAATAGCATTCTTTACCAATTCTTCTACCAAAGCTGGTACAAGCTTTTCTGCTGACCTTAGTGGACTTTAGTTCATGTTCTCGATTAGGAAAGTTTAGGGAAAGGGATGTTTATTTGTTAGCTTTTTTTTTTAACTTGTGGCCATTCATAAACATCTAGTTTTTCTAAAACATCTGACCATGGCTAATACTTCAAATTTGGTGCTCATCAGAAATACCCAAGGCTAAGTATAAATTGAAGTCAAGGTCAGTAATAGCCTTTTTTTATTCTTTTTTCTTAACAACACTTGTTAGTGGATTGACACCTAGACTTTGATGTTGGTGGGGTCTGTGCTGTAGGCATTATCATTGTTTCAGGCAGAGCAAGCAGTACAGCCTAAACAACTAGGTTTTAAAGAATTACTTCCTCAATCATATGTGTCAGGATATTTCCCCTGTTGAATCAGATATGCAAACAGCTTGACCCATAAACTCTGTTTGCATGGAATTTAATCTTATAGGGCCTTTTCCTAGTGAAGGTTGCTGAACGTTTGAGAATAATGATGATAAATCACATTGCTAGCTATTTTCTGTGCCACTGATATGTGCAGAATCCTAAGGGTACATTTCCCTTTCTTTCCCAGAATGTGAAATTTCTCTTAGTTAGATTCTCTCTGAATAACTCAGTTGTTGTGAAGCTGTA